GCACTTAAGCGGATGAATGGCTTACACTTTTTTATTTTTTAACGAGGTCTTTATGTAAGTTTAGTTTGACTGTAACAACTACTGTATCCATCGTCGCTGGAGAGACACGATGTGTTCCCCTTGGTTCATCCTGGATTATTTATCACCTTCCAACATGCAGATACCATCTTGGAAAGTCCACAATACTATACAGGTGTTGATTCACATTAAAGCTTGCAAAACTTAACAAGTATGATTGTGGACAAATTCAACAAAGATTAAATGTCAATTGTTAATCACACATTTTAAGACATATTACATTTCTTTCAAAAGATTTAAAAAGTTTCTTTGTCGATTCTTATCATTGTTCAATAGAATGAATATAACATTTCACATTTGATCACTATTCTAAACATATACATTATTATTATGCCTTTTGTAAAGTAAAGAATAATGGAACGATACTATAAAGACAAGGGGCGTATTAAGCAATTGCATGACGGAAGGTCAAACATGAGGTGTTTCTCCGAGGCGAAGCCCAAAGCTACTTGAGGCTCGGGGTTGTAAGAGGTCCCAGGAAGCCAACGGATTTCAGACGGCCGAGTTTAGACGGCTTAGTGGACTTAATCTTCACTTCGAAATAACAGGGAAAAAAGGGGATGGGGGTTCCTGTTGCTTATTATGGTCGTCTTACTATTTATACCAATTCGGATAGCAAAAAGATATTGAAAGTTATTCCCCTTGCATCTTGTCAGAGACGCGGGTTAGAAAAGTAGCTTGTGAGTGTTACATCTGTCGGCAAGTAAGCCCATGCTGCTGAGCAGGCAAAATCATCATTCTCGTTTATGTCGTCTTCGCTTATTGTAAGCTTAAACTCCATATTAGTTGAAACAATTTCATTGGATCTACCGTTTAGAAAAAAGTAGGACGTCAATTTCTATTGCAAGTGAACACAAGTCAGTGTGTTTGTAACAACAATAGCTATTTGAAATAGGCATAGTAAATAGCTTTCATTTAATTAATATGCATACTATATGAAATATTCATATATTTCTCAAGGCAAAAAAAAAAAAAACTGAAATACATTGTAGTAAAAACTTGACAGACGAGTTTCAATCACATTGACAAAGATTTCAACTTCCTTGTTTAGTTGTATAC